TCTAGAGCAGTGGTTCTCAACCTTCTGGCCCTTTAAATACAGTTCCTCATGTTGTGACCCAACCATAAAATTATTTTCGTTGCTACTTCATAACTGTAATGTTGCTACTGTTATGAATCATAATGTAAATATCTGATATACAGGATGGTCTTAGGTGACCCCTGTGAAAGGGTCATTCGACCGCCAAAGGGGTCGCGACCCACAGGTTGAGAACCGCTGCTCTAGAGCACCCTGCCCCTTCCTGGTGATCTCTCTTCTTTGACTGTAGTGCATGGGGCAACAGCTACACCTATGTTAAAATACCTGCCCTTGCCTCTACAAAGTTCGCAAAGTGTCTAGGCCATTTCTGCACTTGTTTAGAGGCTCATACCATGTTTGGTCTTTATCTTCAGCATTCAGCTATGCCTGACCTATGGAAGTTTAATTTGTCAAAGACTCATTACCCCACAATCTTATGGGCACGGTGTTATCCTAAGAAGGCAATTATCTGATAAAGTGCTCCTGGAAGAAACACTCAGTGATATCCTGAAGGATACTGGGAGCATGTGACACCACATGAAGCTTACAAGAGAGAATCTAATATTAGAAGCTGTACTACATATATACCTTGTATTATGCAATAGATTTTTCCCTGAGAATTTATGAGAAAATCAAGAGGTATAGAAATTAAGGGCACACAGGCCTGAGTTTGAATTTGGCTCTGTCAGCTACTTGGCAGCTGTTTAACTGTGGGCAATTTATTTAAGCTCTCTAAGACGCAGTTTTCTCTTCTACATGAAAATATTGTAAGAATACTTCCTCATAGATGAGTAAATGAGATAACATATATGAAGCTTTTATCTGGCACATGGTAACAACTCAGTAAACAGTAACTGTTATTGTTAGGAAGAGTGGGAGTGACTTTAAAGTTAAAGTCAGCAAATATTAATTGAGCACTAAGGCCAGGGTCATGTGATAGACAGCCCCACACACAAAAATACTTTATCTTTTTCTATATGGATTTATTTATATTAAAATGATAACTTTACCTTTTACAAAACAGTAGATTTATTACATTACCTACTGAATTCCAAGCAAGTCTCCTCCAAAAGGTAGGAATATTGGTGATAATGTCTCTTACAAGCCCATTGTTTAATTCTTTAAGAGTAAACTGTATTCACTACTTATTTATCTACTCCAAAAGAGAAATTTCCTCTCAATCATTTAACTCTGAGGTGACATTTCATAATTTTTTTTAAGATAAAGGGTGTTTTTAAACTGAGTCCATGCAATCTATTTAAAGAAGTATTCTCACTTTGTATTTTTAAACAGCTATTAATTTTGCCTCGAGTCAAAGAAGGATGTTAGTTCCTCTAAATGGGCATCAATTCCTTCCTAAATCAAGGTATTTCAATTTGTACCTCTCCTAAGATTAAGGAGACCCAAAGAAGATGTATAAATGACCAATAAGCACACGAATAGATTATCAACATCATTAGTCATAAGGGAAATGCACATTAAAACCACAACATTATACCATGTCCCACCCACTAGAATGGATATAATAAAAATGTTGGTGAGGATGTGGAAAAATTGGAACCCTCACACATTGCTTGTGGGAATGTAAAACTGGTTCAGCTACTTGGGAAGATAGTTTGCCAGTTCCTCAAAATGTAAATCATGGAGTTACCATACGATTCAACAATTACAATCCTAGGTATATATCAGTGAGAAATGAAAACATACATCCACACAAAAACTAACCTATTGCCAATGAGGAAGAAGCAGCCAGGAGTTCACCATTTCATCAGTTTGCAATGCAGCTGCTATTGGAACCTTGTGATGTATAGTAGCCTCCCTTCCCCATGGTTTTGCTTTCTGGGATTTCAGTTACCTGAGGTCAACCATAGTCTGAAAATACTAGACTAGAGTTCTTAGGCATCACCATCGACACTTTACAGAGTTGGCCCAATATTAGACAAACAAGCCAGTATGGAATATTTGTACTTGCTATAGATGAGGCCAATCTAAAAATTATTACAGATTTTTTTTCAAGGACAAAAAATAAATAAGAAGGAAGAGGGAGTGAGGAAAGTAAATGCTTTGATTTGTGTTTACAGTAGAACTGGCTTGGTGGCTCTACACATATACTTTTCCCTGGATTCTAGGAGATAAGTTTATGTTCCATTGCTATAATAAGTAAATATGTAGCCCTAACCGGTTTGGCTCAGCGGATAGAGCGTCAGCCTGCGGACTCAAGGGTCCCAGGTTCGATTCGGTCAAGAGCATGTACCTTGGTTGTGGGCACATCCCCAGTAGGGGGCGTGCAAGAGGCAGCTGATCGATGTTTCTAATTCTCTATCCCTCTCCCCTCCTCTCTATAAAAAATCAATAAAATATATTTTAAAAAAATAAGTAAATATGTAAAACTTAGTCATACCCTAGACCAGTGATGGCGAACCTTTTGAGCTCGGCGTGTCAGCATTTTGAAAAACCCTAACTTAATTCTGGTGCCGTGTTACATATAGAAAGTTTTTGATATTTGCAACCATAGTAAAACCAAGACTTATATTTTTGATCGTTATTTTACATATTTAAATGCCATTTAACAAAGAAAAATCAACCAAAAAAATGAGTTCATGTGTCACCTCTGACACACGTGTCATAGGTTTGTCATCATTGCCCTAGACTCATGATTTCAAGGCAGATCCAATTCTTACTGCAAAATTAAAAGTGTCTTTAATGAGAGCCATGAGGAATCCTCAGATCTCAGACAGAAATGGTATAAAGCAATGTCAATACCATTTGTTATGTGTTCTTACTGAACTCTGAAATTCCTTAATTGAGGAGCACATCTCTAGTATACAGACAGAATTAGACCTTATTTGTGGCTGCATTTAATTGTTTGGAAAAGACACTTTGTAAATTTTAAGAAATGGTAGGAATTTCCCAAAACCTTCACTAGAAGGTGAAGGAAACTGGTTCCAAGTCAGACAGCAAATTAGTAGTAGAACTAAGATATGGCTAGACTGATCCTATTATCTCATTTGGAGGCCTCCTTATTGTTAGGCTAGTAAAATATTACCTCATATTCACATAACTCTAGGTCCACACCAAATCTGCATGTACAGTCTCTTCTTTCGGCCTCTCAATGACCCTGTGGACTAGGGACAATAAATGCAATTGTTCTCTCTTCCAGGATAAGAAGATTGCAACTCAAGAAGATACATAGTAGTCTATAAGAAAGACAAGATTACCCTAGCCGGATAGAGCATCAGCCCACGTAATGAAGGATCCATGGTTCGATTCAGGTCAAAGGCACGTCCCTCAGTTGCAGGCTTGATCTGTACGTGGAGAAGGCAACCAATAGATGTGAGATCTCATATCAGTGTTTCTCTGTCTCTGCCTCTCCATTCCACTCTCTCTAAAAATCAATGGAAAAATATCCCCGGGTGAGGATTAACAACAGAAACAGTCAAGATTAGAACGCAGCTCTCCCTATTCTCTCCACCATGCCATCGTGGTTGGTGCTTTCCATTAATTAACTTTGGAAAACAAGTTTGAGACACCAGAATTAAAAGGACAGTTCAGCTTATTAAAAATAAATAATCATATCCCTAGACGATTTGGATCAGTGGATAGAGCGTTGGCCTGCGGATCAAAGGGCCCCGAGGGTTTGATTCCGGGCAAGAGCACATACCATAGTCACAGGCTCCTCTGGGCCCTGGTCCGGGCTCCTGCAGGGTGCAACCAAAAGATGATCGACGTTTCTCTCTTTCTCTGTCTTTCCCTCTCTCTCTAAAAGCAAACAAACAAAAATCCTCGGGTGAGGATTAACAAAAAAATAAATGAATGAATAATTACTTATTTTGTATGTAGAAAAATGAAATACTCAAATCTCTCTGACCCCTCTCCTGCTAGGAACTTAAATGTTAAACTGAGTTCTCTAGTTGTGCACAAACCCACAGCAATTTAGACTTGGCACTGCTAGGGAACTACTTTCCTAACAATTGTATCTTAATCAAATTGAATAAAAAATGTAAACACATGAAATGGAAGGGAAGAAACTGTCTGTACTCCTCCCTCTGGCCACATTTGTCTCTACTTTCATGATCGAGTTTCTCAAGCCAAGGGCACAGGGCCAAAAGTATTTGGCAAAAATCCGCAGAACACCTAACCAGCGCAGCCTCCGCAGGAGCGGAGCGACCTGAATTTCAGCCTGATTTACGCTCGTCTCATCCCCCGTGTTGCCCTAAGCAGCCACCTAAACGCGAGATGGTTTCCTTCATAGTAATATGAGGTCAGTGCGCACAGATGAATTTAAACGTGTGATTGTACTCACGCTTTGCATACTGAAGTCCATAAATGTAAACTTAAAACAACAGATGTATATACTGAGTTTACTTCGTCTGAAGTCACGTGCTTCTCCCCTTCCCTGTGACACTCGGGGGCCTCCTTGGGGGGGACCCCGGCTGGGCTTCTCTGAGCGCAGCACCCGTCAGTCGGAGGCCTGCCTGGCTGAAAAAAGGCAGGCCCCGGGCACTTGACTCTGCGCCCGGGACAGTCCCTAACCATTCCTAATTCGGGGCGGCCCGGCCACCTGTTCCCGGCAGCCAATGGGCGCGAGGGGGGGGGGGGCGGGGGGCACGGCGAG